CCCCCCCCCCCCCCCCCCCCTCCCCGGCCCCAGCAACAGCTTGTCGTGCGCCTCCGCTTGCGTGCTCGAGTCCCCGGCCAGCAGCGTGGAGGTGGCGGCGTAGGGCAGCGGCGATCCTAAGCAGTTGCTCTCCCGGAGGGCCTCGCAGGGCGCGGCGCGCTTGCACCGATCCTCCGACGACGAGCTGCCGTTCAGCGAAGCCGCCGCACCGAGGAGCCCCAGCCAGCAGCAGGCCAGGGCGCAGCTCAGCCGTCCGCCGCCGGCCATGGAGACCCACCGCGGGCCGGTCGCCAACGCGCGCCTAGGACCCCCCGGGCTGCGCCAGCGCGCCCGGTCCCGGGACTTGGGGGGCTGCTGGGCGAGGAGGGAGCAGCCGGGGAGCGCAGGCCATGCTCCCGCCCCGTTCCCGGCGGGGAAAGGCTTTCCCCCCGCCCGAAGAGGGTCTCTTTGTGCGAAGGAAAAGAAAGTTTGGCAAAGTTTAACAAACTGTTGCAAACTTTGGTAAACTTTGGGCTGGGGGGAAAGTTTGGGAAAGTTTGGCCGCGCCTCCCGGCTTTGTTAGGCTCGGAGCCGAAGAATGCGGCGGGATGGAGGGGAGGGAGGCAACCGCAAACCTCCAGCCCGCCCAGCCTCGCCTCCGCCCGCCCGCCGTCCCGTCCCGTCCCGCACCAAGCGAGCGCTCCAGCGGAGCCCCCCAAACGGAGACTCGCGCCCCCACAAAGGCCGCCCCGGGCCGCGGAGCCCCTCCTCGGCGAGCGGGGGAAGCGCGACCCTCCGAAGGCGGCCCTTCCCAACTGTGTCTCGCCCCCCCTCGGTTGGTCGAGGATTGTGGGAGCTGAGAAAGGAAGCGGAGGGCGCCCGGTTGCAGAAGGAGGCGCTGGGCAAAGCGCTTTCTCCCCCTTCGCTCCGCCCGCCGAGATTTAAAATAGGCTGGGAGGATTGAACACGTTTGGTAACCGATTCAGACAAGCGGGTTCTTGTAAAGACGAGCGGGACACGCCTTCAGTTAAAGTGCAATTGCCCGGATTAATCATAGGCTGTGGATGGACCATCATTGTTGGTTTAACGCAATTCTACTCCTGTCCTCTGAGTCTCCAAAATATTCAATTTGAGTTAATCCTGGGTTAACATCACTGGGTTAATGTCACTTCATGACTGGAAGCTGTCAAGAAGCGATTGGACAGCCATCTGTCAGTAATGGTATGGGGGGTCTCCTGCTTGAGCAGGGGCTGGACTAGATGACCTCTAAGATCCCTTGCAACTCTATTTCTATTCTATTCTAAATCCTATTCTATTTTCCAGTTTCTCTTCTAGTTTCTCGTTTCTCTTCTCTTTTCTATATTCTCTTTTCTCTTCTAGTTTCTCGTCTAGTTTCTCGT